CGCCCCCGATCAAACCAACCACGATTCGGTCAGAAGCCACAAGGACAGTGATATGACTATCAACAGCAAACAACTTTCAGCAGTTCGATGCAAGAGAACAAGAAGACAACCCTCCGATGCAATTACTGCAAGAAACCTGGACATCTTATTTGCCAATGCCGAAGAGCCAAGGCTGGAAACAAGCCTGGAACGGAATCTTACAACGTGGAGTGTCTAATGACCGAGGCGAAGCACTCAAGCAGTCCAGATTCGAGCGAATCCCACGGTGAGTTCGTCATTGATTCTGGTTCCACACATCATATAATCAATGACAGAAAATGGTTCACGTCCTTCCAAACCGTCAATTCTGACAAAACCGTCAGACTAGGAGCTGCACGAAAACTCAAAGTTCAAGCCGTTGGTGAGGCTGTACTCCGTGTCAAGAAATGAGGTAAGGGGAGCGTGATCATTACTCCCTCGAACTGCTTGCTCGTTCCCAGAATGAGACGGAACCTGAGTGTGTGTGTGTGCTGTCTCGCAAAAATCGCATCTGCAACAAAGCCATCGGAAACTCCGATGGTCTCTATATTTTGTCTGCACATAAGCGAAAGGCTGCAGAGTCCCCGCAGACCGAGTCCAACAATCCTGAAATTCAGGATCCCAGCGAAATTTCACCAATATCCCTCCTGGAAGCACATCAAGCCTTTGCCCACATCAACAAAGAAAAGGTGAAGATGACTCTCAAACAAGCGAATATACCCTTTATCGACGACTTCGAATCTTGCGAAGCATGCATTCAAGGAAAAAGCCAAATCCAGTAGCGCCTACGACACTACCGTGTCCTAGGACGCGAAAACGTCTTCTGTGTCTCTCTCTAGTCTAGATATTATTATCTATCCCTTTGGATTATCTAATCTACATATTTTCATTGAAATAGCATTATTGCATGCACCTCAATCAATTCATCGGTGATTTCGCTTGATATCTCACCAACCAGGCCTTCACGGCGGACTTTTTGACGAAGCCGCTCAGATGAGAGGATTTACGGATGATGCTTTTTTTAAATTGACGACGAAAGAGTGATGTTCGTCCAATGATCGCGGTAAACTCTGTACCATCGTGTTGATGTCAACTGGCTGCTGAGGTGAGGGAGCTGCAGCAGCAAGGAATCATACGCGAATCGAACAGCCCACGGTGCTCACCGGTAGTCCTCCTGAAGAAGAAATCAGGCGAGTACCGATTCTCCGAGGACTATTGGGAGCTGAATAAGATCACAAAAAAGGATGTGTGTATATCCTATCCCGCGCATGGACGACGCGACGTCCTGGACAGTCTTGCCGGGGAAGAGTTCTTCTCATCACTCGACCCTCAGCAGGGATACTACCAGTGAAGTGTCGCAGAGGAGGACGGAGAGAAAATGGCCTTTATCACCAACGATGGACTGTTCGAGTTCACGAGACTGCCCTTTGAGCTTACCGGAGCCCCGGCGACCTTCGAAAGACTTATGGATGCGCTGCTCAGGGGTAGAAAATGGCACTCATGCCTAGTCTAGCCAGACGACGTGGGCGTCTTCGGGCGCACATGGGCCGAGCACAACGAAAGATTGACAGATATGCTCCGGTGCCTGGACGAGGCGAACCTGTCCCGGTACCTGAAGAAGTGCTTCGCGGAGAAGGAGCTACAGCTACTGGGTCACACGATCACCACGAAAGGGATCCTTCCAGACCGATCGAAAAGAGAGGCGGTGGGGAGGTTCCCCGTTCCCGATTCCGTCAAGGCCGTGAGAAGCTTCGTGGGTCTGTGCTCATTCTACCGCCGTTTCATACCAAACTTCACAGGAATCGCCCGGCCGCTGCACGATCTGACAAGAGATTGGTCTCAGAGATATCTGGACCCGAGAACATGAAAACGCGTTCGGAAGACAGAAGAAGGCCCTGATGTCACCACCGCTCCTAGTGAGTTTCGACCCGACGAAACCAGTCACCGTACACTCGGACTCTGGCGGATACGGCACAGGTCTCATCCTAACGCAGCAGCGTGACCTGGACGGAGCGGCGGCGGTGGTCGGGTACGCCAGCCAAACTCTGTCCAAAGCCGAGCAAAACTATTCAACCACGGGAAAGGAATGCCGGGCAATAGTTTGGAGTACGCACGCCTTCAGGCCGTACCTGTACGGCAGACCGGTCACCGTGGGGACCGATCACCATGCGCTGGGTTTTCTGTGTAGTATGGTACTTCGTTCTACTTAAAGGAAGAACACCCTCCTGGTATGGCTGACTCTCACTGACTGCGCGTAGCGCTACTTCATTGATATTCTCTCCAGAGGGCGCTCCAGTACACGGGAAGCGCGCTCATGAACTTGTCTATTCTACACCGCCCTTCCCCATGAACTAGAATTCCGATCTATTAAGACCCAGGAGCGCGTACACATCACCGAGATCGTCCGGGTCTGTCCTTGTTCGTTTCGGAGGGTCCGCCGCGCCGGAGCTACATTCTCCGAGCTGACCGACCTCGGACGCTTACCAGGCTCTTCGATATCGTCCGGAGCCGTGAGCGTATAATCTGACCCGATTAGCGTTTCCGTCGCAGAACATAGAACTCCTCGAACATAGAGTGCGAAGCAGCTGAATCGGGAGGAATGTTGGGTCTGTGGACCCGTTATTTCCACCGCGCACTTTCTTGACAGTCGGTGTCGTTGATGATGGTGGCGCTGTGCTGATCAAAGGTTGAGCTGTCGTCGTTTTCTCTGCCAATGCTGATGTCTCCGAGCGACTTGGGATGGCTGGATAAATCACGGAGTGAATTTTGGACGAGTCCACGGGGATTCTGGTGTTCTGAGGATTTACCTCGGCTGTCTTGTCGACACCCTTGAAAAGTGATGGTGCTGTGTGTTCCGAAAGATGAAAAGTGTTTGAAGCTGATAATTTGTCATATTCGGACGCACGGAATCTCTACAGATGAAGAGGAGCAAGGTTCTAATACTCTTGCTACAACGAAGTCATCCAAAAGCCTCGTTGTCTGCTGATATCCCTGATTGTGAGTCGAACTCTCACTCCAATACAACAGCTTATGGGCTCAGTCATCGCGAAGACTGCGTTGGCCTAAGTGAGAGTGTCGAAAATAAGTCGTAGGCGATGAATTCTCAAGCTCAGCGAACACTCACAGATCAAGACGAAAGTGAGTTGAGAGTCATGCCGACCGAACCGGGAGATTCAACTGCCGGGACTTCCTCGAAGTCAGGCTCCAAGATCAAGGTAGAGAAACTGAACAGACAAGAAGACCGGCCTAGATGGAAATGGCAGCTTTATCTGGCTCCGAGAGCCAATGGCTTAGAAGACATAGTGTACGGAACGAAACCACGACCCCCAAGTTCGAATACAGCAGCCTTAGCATCATGAGGCATCGAAGGTGCCTAAGCAATGAGCCTCCCTGCTGGGACCCTGAGCAACACCATCTAAGAGCTAGTCCTCACTTGCGACACAGCTCAAGGAATCTGGTCTAAATTATGCGCACGATTCGAGACGAGCTCTCTTCAAAGGCTCGATTCCCTCATAGAACAATTCTTCAAAACGGGAAGAGATGAGAGCGAAGACATGGCAACCTATGTGGCGAGACTCCAGAAGTTGTTCGTGGATCTGAACAACGAGTATGAGAAGCAAGAAAAATGCAAGCTCTCTGATCGAATCCTCATGGGAGGAATCCTATCCACTCTAGGCACAGCTTATAACTCCTTCAAAGATGTATGGGAATCGTTTGCACCGAAAGAGAGATCTGTCAACCTTCTTCTCAAAAGACTTTGTAATATCGGAAGGAGAGAGGTGAAATCCACCGAGCGAGTCTTAACGGTACAGAACGTCAAGGAGTCGAGAATTTCAAAGACTGAAAAGATAGATAAGGAAATGAAGTACACATGCAGAATATGCAAGAAGCTCGGACACAGGGCGAAAGAATGTCCGAATGCTGAGAAAAAAAAACGAGCATCCTGGCGAGCGCTTTCAGCGTAGGCAACGAAGTCTCGTATATAGACGCATGGATATGCGACAGTGGCGCTTCTGTACACCTAACCGCCAAGAAAGAATACTCCTCTGATCAGGAAGAATTCAAGTACTCAAAAGAGGTGTACTTCGCAAAGGAAGGCTTATTCATGCGAGCACTGGGAACAGGAAAATTCGAGGTGGAAATTTCCCGTGCTAATCAATGGAGAGAAGCCAAACTTATTGATGTCTGGTACATTCCACATGCGAGTGCGAATCTCTTCTCGGCCAGAGCAGCAGCCAAAAGAGGTTTCAAAACGGAGCCCACTGATGTTGGAGTAACGATTGAGCCCAGAGACGGGCTCGTTATGCTTTCCCAAAGCATCAACCATCTAAAAGTATTCGGAACTGAGTGCTATGTCTACGTCCACAATCACCGGAGAAAAAATTCGATGGCAAAGGAAGAGTAGGACAAGTCGTTGGCTATGACAATGAAGTGGATGGTTATCGCATCTAGCTTCCCAACGAACAGAAAATCATATGCACTCGTCAAGTGAAACTCAAGTCGGAAGAGATGTGTCAGAAGAAAGTCTCGAAGATTCCGATCGAGACAAAAGACTCTTTCAGTGAGTCAGACTGTAGAGAGAATGGATCGAGATATCGAAGATGCGAAGGAAGATGATGGGCTCAGGTCGATGAGGGTATAATCAGAGGGAGTTTCTGAATCCCGGGAAAGAGACGAGAAGAGCATCCACAGCTCAGAAGTTTCTGAGAGGGAAGTTTGAAGCAACTCTGAACCCCCCGAGGACTCCCAGAAAAGAGTATCGATGTGGCCAAAATGGTTGTCAAGCAAAGACTACGTTTTCCTAGCTGCTCCGTCAACTCATCAGGAAGTGCTGGATAGCAATGAGAAGGAAAAGTGTCTGAAAGCTATGGATGAAGAGCTTGAGTCGGTTCGAGAGAATGAAGCCTGGGAACTCGTGGAAAAACGCAAGAACGCACACTTTCTAAAGAATCGATGGGTACTCCTGATAAAGGATACACAGAATGGACCTCGCTATAAGGCTCGACTCCGCGCTCAGAAGTCTGGCGTTGACTTCGGCGAAACGTATTCGCCAAACGCGGTATGAAACGGCACGATTCCTGCTAGCCGTTTCCGCCGTCAAGAAGATGCACCTCAAGCAGTTTGATGTCAAGACTGCATCCCTATACGGCTTGCTCTCGGAGATGGTTTTCATCGAAGAACCGGATGCATTCAAGGACGGATCTGGCAGAGTTTGCCGTCTGAAACGAGGACTCTACGGTTTACGTCAAGTCCCTCGGTGCTGGAACACGCGTTTCGCTCATTTTATGAAGAAATGCAAGTTCACGCAGAGTGATGCAGATCCTTGCTTGTTCTCCAAGAAGGAAAGCTTCCGGTCTGATTATAGTAACCGTCCACGTTGATGACGGGTTGGTCCTATGTGACAGCGAGGAAGTCAGTCAGCAATTCATGGATGCTCTTCAGAGCGAATTCAAGATCACCACAGGAGACCTCAGCAATTATCTCAGTATTTGTATCGAGCGTAAGGTGGAAGGCTTCGAACCACGCTGATTATCTTGATCTCCTCGGCTCTCACGGCTTCCAGAGTCTGAATCTAACCATACCTACGAGGGTCACCTCTTCCACGGCGTCCCTCATTGATCACGTCTTCGCGCGATCGAGGCTCATTCTGGACCCGAGGGTCCAGATTCTGGATTCCGACGGTATCTCAGATCATTCCCTGATCAACCTCAGCTTCACCTACGAGACATCGGAGAGGCCTGGAAGCTTGCTGCGCAAGATCGACTACGGTGCTCTTTTGTCGGAGATAGACGAGGTGGACTGGTCCCCTGTATACCAGGCCCAGGATGCCAACGCGAAATCAGATCAACTGCTGGACCTGCGCTACAACCATCAACAACTTCTCCACCCTTTCACTGATCACGAATCGTTTACGTCCAATCAGAGAGTGGATGACACCAGGTCTAGTCAAGTCGATTAGGAAGAGAAAAAAGCTTTACCGGAACTATAGAAAGCACGGATCGAACGAGTCGAGAATCCTGTATGAGACTTACAGTGCCCGCCTCCGGAGGCTACTCAGGCTCGCGAAGGATGAGTACTACTCGGCGAAATTCAAGGAGGTTGAGGGATGCGCGGCCGGCTCATGGAGAATTATAAATTCTTTCTTTCGAGGCAAAACTAGATCGACGAAGCTCAAGCCTGATACTGTGGGTCTGGATGTAAACGGAATCAACGAGTTCTTCGCGCAACTGGGGAAACGCACAGTGGAAACGGCGATTGGACATGTGGGCCCTACTTTAGACCTTCCGGCATACAGTCGGTCTGTCTTCCCGGGCTTCCGTGCTCCAGATATCTCCGAAATCTCCGTGTCTTCTGAAGAATATCGACTCTCACAAGGCGGCGGGCCTCGATGGTATCCCGGGCAGATTCATCAAATTATGCCATGAAACCCTTGCGAAACCCGTCAACGATCTCATCAATACAATCTTCTCCACCAACGTATATCCTAGAAACCTCAAAACCTCTCTGCTCCATCCTATCTACAAATCAGGCCCCCAATCGGATCTCAACAGCTACAGACCTATTTCATTATTACCTATTGCCAACAAAGTAGTGGAGAGAATCATGGCTGAACAGATCGTCACATTCCTGGAAGAAAATGATCTGCTTTCGAGTAATCAACACGGATTCCGGAGAGGACGTAGCTGCGAACAAGCTGCCCTCATACTTTCTGACTATATAGCGGATGCCACGGACAGGGGCCTACACTGCGTCGCTATTTTCTGTGACATCAGCAAAGCCTTCGATTCGATCAACCATGAGCGCCTGTTAATCAAGCTGCAACGGATCGGCTTCAGGGGAGCATCGCTTGAACTCCTGCGCTCCTATCTGTCCGAGAGGAAGCAAGTATTCGGGGACGGGAACAGCTGGAGCGACCCTCATGAGGTGGAAATGGGCGTACCTCAGGGATCAGTACTCGGTCCAATACTTTTCTCCATTTTCGTCAACGATCTCCTGACCTCGGCCGACGACACCTGTGTAGTAGCTTTTGCCGATGATACTACCCTCTTGTGCAGACATGAGAATGCCCGGGTATTAAGCGACATTGCCTCCTCCGCTATCACCAGGATCGCGCGGCTCATGAAGACCAATGGTCTGGCTTTGAATGCAGGCAAAACCAGTTCATCGCCTTCGGTG